AAAGCAAAAAATGTATTTATCAGGGGGAAAAAAACCCACAAGAACAGCTGAACTTTATTTGGGGTTAACCACGACCTCAATCTTTCTTTAACTTTCCATTTGAAATGTTTCATTTTAAAAGGTGGAACCTTTTTTGAAATGGTGTATCTCGGTCAAAAACATTGCATTAGAACAGGTCTGTGTCAACCACTTTTATTTCCTGCAGCCTGGCAGGACCACGAAAGAGGGACATATGGTCATGACATCTGGGGTGCAGATCACATAAATTGATGAACTGATGGATGGTGCAGCTATCATGGCGCCATTCATCCATCCATTTTGTGCTACTGCTTTTTTTAAACTGTCCTGTTGAGTTGCTTGGTTGCGCAATAATGGGGAAGGGACACTCAAGACAGAAAATAAGTTTTATCTACTGAGTATGAGGGAACTGGGAAGGTGGTGCCACACCCTGTGAGGAAGGGACAAACAGAACAGAAGCAGGCAGCGATGCCGGTGTCTGGTAGGAGCAGCTAAGCAATGCCTGTCGCCCCTGTAAAGAATTTCAGCACAAATGAGGACAGTCCAGGAAGATTAAGTCATCTCAAAGGCTGTGGATAACAATTGGAGATCGAGATGCCCTGCACCAAGCAACGACACCCCTCAAGGGAGCCGTGCGAGTGAAACGACATTGCCGCCGATGCATGTGAGAGTTGTCTGGAATTGCTGTGCAGGTAGAATAAGGACGGAGGGACGGTCCCAAAACAGATATGCAGGCCCACAGAGATGAGCACTTTGCAGAAGACGTAAAAAGAGGATCCCAAATGTCAAACATACACTTGGAAATGTAGCACAAATTGAATACTGTACTTGACTGCACGGGAGCTGAAGAATAGTACACGAAATGCAGGAAGCAAGACAAGCATGCAATGAGTTCTTTCAAAGTAAAACAGGAAATAACTGCACCAAGTCCGGGAGGAGTATGTGGTGGTGCAAGGTAGAAGAGAAAAGTAAGGACAAGAAAGAGACTATAATCACAAACGAAGCACCAAAGACCAAAAATCGAGATGGGTAGAAATGACCGAAACTGCAGTGTGCGTTTGTGCAGTTTGTGTTTGTGTGGATTTATTTGCAGCAAATAGCTCAGGGCAAGGCTGCGACGTGTCTGCTCGACTGCATTCGGGAACACATTCGGGTTTGCCACAGCTGGTGCCCGCTCCGATAAGGCGCTAATCTGACCCACTCGTGTCGTGGAGCAGATGGACACCACTGTTGAAGGAAAGGGCAGTGCCAGTGATGTCATGCTTATGACACAGAAGCTGTGGAAGGACTGAGTCATGGTTCTGTGAGGATTGTTTTTTTTCTGTAGCCTGTAGGATTTAATACGAAAGGTGACCGTGCTCTTTTGCGGAGATACATTGAAGCGCCTCGTTGACGAGAGCCAAGGCCACTTTTGTAGGAAATACACGGGACTCAAATGTGATGCCCTGAAATCCAGTACACCCATCCAAAAGTCATGAAGGAAGCGGAAATTCCTCTTTCTCCACCTCCACAAAAGACGTAATGAAAAAGCACAATGAACAACTATTGCAACCCGCAGGCCTCAGATGGTAAATTAAGCGGTGCAATAATCCTCTCGGAGTTGCTACTGCGCAAACCAATCCAGCGGGAGGAACCGGCGAGCTGACATTCCCTGGGCTCTGGTGTGTAAACGGCAATCGCGGAATTAATTTAGTCGTCTGCAACACAAAAGCAATCAAGCCGTGATTTGAGCAAATGCAATGTAGGAACTTGAGCGTATGCTTCATCACATTCCCCACGCCCCACCCCTTTATCTCTGTATGACCACATCTGAAGAAACTGAAATTGCCAAGCAAAAGCGGGAACGTAGATCAGCTGCAGCAAAGTCACTTCTCTATTATTACCACAGACAATTTGTGGCCGCTGTGACATCATGCACTGGGCTGTTGCTTTGGATCGCTGCCATCTCGGGTTGATTTAAATGAGACAGACAGGTCTCCGTGCACAGAGGACATTTGTCATTTAAGACCAAATCACATAAGCCTCCCCTCTTACATCTTTCAAGCACGTGAAGGACAGCTGTCAACATTTGACACTGTCAAATGCTGAGTGCGCACACAGCCAGATTACACTTGGTCCACATCCCCACAGATGTAGAAATACGCTGCGCAAAAATTGATGCCATTCAACCCTTCAAATAGGAGTCGGTTTATCTTCACAACTAATAGGGAGACAAGGGAGGATCTTGGGAGACATTGATAAGTGGGAACCCCGGGGAAATAAGCAAGATTTCATCGCAAAGCTAATCTGTGAGTGACACAAAAACAAAACAAAAAAAAAAAAAAAACAGGAATTGGGAAGTTATACTTAATGACAGCTACAAATGGCAGCCGTGTCCTTTGTGGTCAACTCCCAAGCTGAAGTCATCTCGATTGTCTTACAAACTGAAACACTCCCCCACCCTCCCCAAATAACATAAACTCTGTGTCTACAGGACTTGAGTTATGCGGTCTGACGATGGCGCGGCTGGAGGTCGGCCAACGAACAGCGCAGAGACAGTGAAGTCAATGAGAGGCGATTAAAGGGAGAGGAATTGCCCGGTTTACAAGAATGAGGTCGCAATTACGTTAGGACGTCTGCCATTGTGTCCAGCCTCCAGTGCTGTCTGCAGCTTGTGAAGTGTGCGCCGCAGAGGGTGTTACACAGGGTAATGTGAGGTTGGGATTACAAGAAGGAAAAAAAGCTTGCCTTTTGCTACCTATTGCAGTCTTAAGCACAGATCGCATGGAGTTTTTTTCTCTTTGAAAGGTCTTGCTCCTCAGTCTTCTATCAGCAGAGCCGGCCTCTGAGACCTGACCTCTCGGTATATTCACTCGCAGCAGGGTGGCATGTCCAAAAAAGGGTCAACACTGCGGCATATTGAGCCGGGGGGGAGTAAAAGCACCTTGTATCCACACCCCATTTCATCCCCAAGTATGCCTGGGTGCCAGATTATTGATCTGCAAAGAGATTTTGCAGAGTCGAAGGCCACTGCTTGCTCCTTTACAGCAAACGGGAGTCACTGCTGAGCATTTAAAGCTAGGAAATATGATATCACAGCACAGGTGACCAGGAGGCATCCTAAACAGATGCCCGAACCACTTCACCTAGCTCCCCTTGATGCAGAGGAGCAGTGGAACAACTGTGAACACCTCCCGAATGACCGAGGTTCTCACCCTGAAGCTAGGTGAGTTCGGGATAAATCAAAGAAGTCTGGAAAAGCATAACATATCCATATAAAACTGAATACCTCCCGAATGACTGAGGTTCTCACCCTGAAGCTAGGTGAGTTCGAGATATATCAAAGAAGTCTGGAAAAGCATAACATATCCATATAAAACTGAACCATTGCGGACATTAAGGCATGATTTCAGACTGTCTGAAGGCAATGGAAGCCCCCGTGGCAAGCCAGCAAATTCCTGAGAGGTAGACCGCCCTTCGCCGTGCGTGTGGAAATAAATCGATTAAGCCGGTCTTGAATTATTATCTCTTAAATGAAAAGTGAATTAAAGACTCACCACCGTCCCCGCACGATTCAGGGAATGTGTATCCAGTTCCTCTTAATTGCATCATCCTAATATGTGGCTCCATTGAAGAATCCAATATTTTCTTATTACTTGCGGGAAGTCAACTTACATGCTTTCCTTTCAAGGTTGCACGATCCTTTTGTCCGCCATCTTTGCGTCGAGCCAACAGCCGCCAATTGTCAAACAGCCTCTCCATTAATTCAGCCAATTACAATGCAAGGGTAATATCTCAGGCAAAAACACAAGATGCACGACAGGATGGGGAAGAAACGAAATGGCGGCGGAATCAATGAGGCCTGACAGAGTGGAGTGAAATACACATCAAGCAGGAATGGGGCAGAAAAAGGCCCCGTGAACACACTTTGCCATTTTGGGACATAACGGCAGCAGAATCACATCGTTGTACTTGAATGTGAACGTCACTCAGATCGACATTTTTTTTTTTTCTTGGGACGAGTGCAATTCCTAATGGTGACTGCATTGCGCATTTCACACATTTCGCATCAACAATTACATTCCCGCTTCCTTCCATTGAACAGATGTTTCCATTGTGAGCATCTGTTCTATGGAAGGGGAGCACAGTGCAGGCGTCACAGTGACGAGGTGATAATATCCACAACCACTAGATGGCACCATGATCTCACTCATTCCCAACCAGCATTTTTGCTCATCAAGAATAATAGTAACCAACTCCAAATTAAATCAACCAATCAACACTTCATATAAATATTAAAACCCCAAACAGCCTTGCAACTATTAGTCTTCATAAGATTTACTTACTTGGAGTCTTGCGCGGGGGAGGCAGGGCGCCCACTTATATATGAACCGACCAATCAATCAATCAATCAATCGGCAGCTGGCAGGAGGTTGTGTGAACACAGGCATGCCTTTGGGCCATCAAGTCAATACAGTGACCTTCGAGAAAGCAAACGGTTTGCAGAGTATTACCACGTGTGTCGGGGCGGTGGATGCAAGGCTGACTATGTCCCTGCAGCGTCGATACAATGGATACTTGACATGTAATCTGTTTGAAGTTTGGTTGCACACAAACGATATGTCAATACAAGAGGGAATTATTGGAACAGGCAGATATTGACAAAAACAACCCAATGACCTCCTGGAATCGTTCGTAGTGCTCTCCTGCTCCGATGTAGCCTATGCATCGGAGACTGTCTGAAAATTGACTGCGTCATTTCTTGACCACCTGTGGACGGATTACAATTTGTTTTATTTGTTCTAATTGTTGCGTGAAAGATTTATAAAAAAAAAAATTAAAAAGTCACAAAGTATTGTGTAATGGGGTAAACTTAATTGTCAAACAATTGGTTGACCTTTCTTCTTTTGTATGAACATAAACAAATTTGTATCAACATAAACACATTTAAAATACATCGCCTTAGTTGTATAAACATGAGATATAGTTACAGAAGCATTTTTGTTTTTATTTCGTAAACAAAAATATTGTTTTCTTTTTTTTTCGTTACCTAACTGCAGATGTGTAGTTGTGTACACAGTGATGTGACACATACTTTTTTTTGGGGGGGGGGGGGATCACTATAAAAAAGAAATAATTCAAAAAAAAACTATTTTTAAAATCTGGAATACAGTGAGAGCCCAAATAGTTGAGCCGTGATATGGTGATGAACAACTGTACAGTAAGTTGATTTTTGTTCAGTTTGTTTTGTATTTGTGCAAGAGACTGACAGATTTGCACATTGCTTAGAACTGTCACTTCACAGCCAGAAGGTCCAAAACTCATTCATTCCACGCCTTCACTCATTTCCCCCTGTCAGCTTTTTCTCAAAGACTCAATTTTTAGTGGTCATGCTGAGGTCCATAAGTTGTAATACTTTGGCACACTGTGGCTGCCTATCTTGACTTCTTTGCTCCAGTCACTTGACAATCGATAAGATACTGTCAATAGTGATGGATTCGCATCTTAGCGAGTGAACGCAGCCAATGTAAAACCCTGAGATGTGTTGTCTTGGCTTCAAACAGACTCGCGTGAGGCCAAGTGGGAATTTTGTTTCGCATCCATGGAGCGGCCGGTTAGGTTTCATCCACTGCGAGTTTATCCTCCCTCCTTTTTATGCGGTTATTAAGCCATTTGCGGGTGTCGTTGGATTTTTGATTCTGCTGCGTGCGCATGTCGTGGAATTTCTGTTGCTCCTGTACCATCGCCGTCTGGAAAAGGATGGAGACAGACAGCAGAGAGAAGCGTTTTGAAACAAGCCGAAATGATGGCTATTTTCACCGGGACTCAAAACGACTGCTGCTAATGTTCATCCGACGACGGTGAGGTCACCTGCTGGTCCTCGTACTGCGTCAGAATCCCTTGCATCCGTTCCCTCCTGGTGGTGGCTTTGCGTTCGCGCTCCTCCACCAGTAGGTCGCGCTCCATCTGGTAAGCCTGGATCTTTTCTAAGCGCTTCTTCCGCTGGCTCTCCTCCATCTCGGCGTTCAACAGGACTGGGGTGTCATTTTTCGTTCTGTATGAATTACGCACGGACCTTGTTAATATATCAGCTGGTTCGTAGAGCCATTATCAAAAGTTTTTAAGAGGGCGTAAACCAGGGTTATAAGAGTTTGGGATTTTCATGTAGTTCGTTTTGAATTTGTTTGACTTTTATATTCAGTCCTGATTTCTTTTTTTAGAGCAGTTTTGGAAGTTTTGAATAATTTTCATTTCATTCATTTTTAGTTTTTATTTGTTTTAGTATTAGTTTTTTTTTTAAACTACACAACATTTATCAAGTACAAACGATTGTTTGACTTTCCTTCTCCTGTACAGATGTCCAGCAATAGTGTAATAAATGCATTAGAAACGAACAGAGCTAAGCGATTTTATGGTTTCAATTTTATTTTTTTTTTTTTTTTGGTTCTTTTCAAATCATTTTAAGTTATTCACGTTCGAGCTTGCGTTTGCATGCAATGTACTTCTTGTTTTCCACACAGGGTGGTGCTGCTCTTCATAAAAGAAAATGGAGGGATTCTACAATGTAACCTCAGAGCAGATGAAATGGGCGCAGCACTGCTTTGATGAAACGTAATGCGTGTCATCAAATTTGGCATCGTTTGTCACTTTTTATGACAACCCTCAGCGACACTAAAGTCATGAAATATTACATTTGTTTCTAAATATTTGCATCCTTATTTTACAATGACGGTCCACAGTAACTATTGAATTCTGAAAATCAGGCTGTTGTGACTTGGCATCATGCAAGCTACCGTTGTTTTCATAGCACAGTCGTGGCATTTGATTGACAGTTGAGCCAGGTGCGCGAATTCCGAAATTTTCAAGAAATTCAAACAGTGCGACTTGTGCTCATTTGCTCAGCTTTTTTTGATTTATAAAAACATCCATTCATTTGTTTTTGTTTTTTAGAGAGGTTGCCTTCTTTCAAACCAGCGCAAGCACCAGCAGAAAAGGCAAATTTCACACAGGAAGGCCAGAGTCATGATTCAAACGCTTTGCCTAGCTTAGCGTGATTCACAGAAATAGTGCAGTGGCTGCTGCATCCTTTCATTGCCCTCATCTTCAATGACAACATTTTGGACTGTGTGGTCCTATCACAAAGTGCGACAGATAGTTTGGCGTTTACCACTCCGACACTAAACCTTACAATGTTGGACACTCGCCGGATCGTACGGGCAGCCATGTGTATGCTGTGTGAATGCAAATGTGGCAGGCAGATGGGAGAAATGTGCAGCGGAAATTGTGGCTTCACAATCCAGGCTTTATCTGACACGCCTGGCCGTAAATCCCGAATGACATCGGTGCGAGCGTTCCTGCTTTAAGGCTTCATTGTAATGCCACTGAACGATGGCACAAGAGTGTGTTTTCGGTGTCTGTCTGTGTGTGATAAGAGGAGGAGGACAAGAGGGAGGCAGTGCCAAAAAAAAAAAAAAAAATGGAGGCAGTTCGCTAAAGTTTTTAGTTGGAGGAAGAGAAAAGTACAAGTGGCCATCTGAGGTGCAAACATAAATGGGGGGGAGAAAAAAAAAGTGTTGCCTTTTTCTGGAGTTAATGATGAGGGGAAGCCTGTAGCCGTGCTACTGAAGTAAGAGTTAATGAGCATTGGCCAGTGTGAACTATTTCAGCTGAGTGTGTGTGTGTGTGTGTGTGTGTGTGTGTGTGTGTGTGTGTGTGTGTCATTTCGCCTTTGGACCACTTTGCAGGCCACATTGTCGGCAGCCATTAACAGCTGCACACACACACACACAGTCACGGAGGGGGCGGGTCACAGGAGAGGGCACATCTCACTGACGCGATGAGCTCAACGGGGGTCCTGAAATAGCTTTTTGATTAAGAGACCCAAATACCGGCTCATTTGTCACGGCCGGGGGATGGCCTGCGTGAGGGGAAGGCGAGGTGGTGGAAGGCTGAGCTGATGACATGAGAGACAAAAGCGCAAGCCCTCTGGGATGGAGACGCTTCCTTTGTACTGTCGCTGACTTGACACTTTGGATACTGACAAGCACAAAGCGCGGCGAGATCTGTCAGCATAGTAAAGGCGCACAACTTTAGTCAAGCTCACTTATGAAATACATATATTGGGAAAATGTTTAATGGCTTGGAAACAAATAGTTGTCCACTCTCCTCAGCATTCCGCCTTTCTCTGCATGACATGCGCACCTCCACGGCTGACAACCAGGCACTCTAAAGTGGCTACTCCAGGACATATTTCTCAGTCTTTGTACATTTTTTTCCAGTAATTATCTTCAAATGCGTCATATTAATTTGAACAAATCGCTGACTTCACTTTGTGGAGTTTTTAAGTTGAAATCTTTTTCAGGGAAATTAAGCAGCACTCATTTTTCATCAGGTCTTACAGCTAAAGCAAATGTCCCGGTAGCAAGAAGACACACGTTTTAGCAGACAGACCCACCTGATGAACGGTGTGTAGTCCAAGGGAGGAACGACGATGCTTAACAGCTGTTCAATTGGAATACTGGGAGCGTCAGGAGGAATCGGGCTGCAGCCGTCATCTTGTGGAGAACAACCATCAGATTGAAGGCAAGATGAAGTAGTTAGAGTACGCGGAAGCCATTTTGTTTTGTTGAACCTACCCGATTCGGTGGAGGACACCTCTGGAACTGGAATGTCACCATCTTTGGGGGGATAAAATTGACTGATCCAGTTGAGACGTAACTGCCATGCCTGCAACAACACGAAAATCAAATCATGACAAAAACAGCAGAGTAACACAAGCTACGGACAAAAATATTGGGACAGAGCTACAGCATATCCGGTATATTTCCGACGTCCTTCCTCTTAAAATCTAAATTTACCGCAAACATTCCAGATATCTGTATTCGGCCAATACCAGCTTATTTCAAGGCACCAGTTACTCATGAAGTCTGCCGATACCGGCCACCGATACTTAAGGGAGAAAAAAAAATGACATTGTGTAAGCCTTCATAATGGTATCGAACATCCAAATTTCTAGATATTTGACACCTCGAACCACTGACACAAATGTCCAAAATGCCTGCAAAAACAAAAACGGAGTTGCACTCCAGGGGTGAACTAAGGTAGAGTGTCCCAATACTTTTGCCTACCTTCCCAACACAGGCAGCCACTCGGTTACCTTGGCAGCGCGGCCCGGCTCAGCCGCCTCCCAGGCTCTTTTAATAGCCTTGATTTGCTCTATTCGCTCAACATCCTTCTTCACCACAATGTTCTCAGCTTGGCTCTTGTCGACAGCCACACGCAGCGTGTAGTTGGCCTTGGTCAGGTCAAGGCCCTGCACATGCACGCACGCACACACACACACACACACACACACACACGCAGAAAAAAAACAAAACACACACCGGCACAAATGCATCTGAAGGTCATTGCACTGCAAACGCATGAGTCTGTCTCCTTCGATGAGCAACTTTGGCTGGATTGAGATTTTTCTTTTCTTGATGCAGCGCTCGCTGAATATGTCATTGTTCAGTTAATTTATTCGCAGATCATGACATCGGCAGCTTCCAACAACGCAGTGCCGCTAATGAAAGAAAACATATTCAAATGGAAATGCGCTGCAGAGAGCGGGCGCACTGGGGGGGAAAAAAGAGAGAAAAAAAAAATCAGCCTTTCAAATTTGATTGCATTTAGGATTAGATGTTTGGCAAACAAGAAGCACGTCTTAACATTCTGTGTCATCGAAAGGGATGTTCGAGTCCACAATTTTGACAGACCAGATAAAACAATTTTTGTTCATATAGTTGCAATCCTTCCACAATCTTTCAACTCTATTTACTATTTGAGCACACACACACACAATAAAACAAAATTCATCGAAAATACTGTATGCAGTGTCGTGTCTGTGTCTTGAAGAGGCGGAGCCTGTTTGACAATGGCGACTCTGCAGGTGGGTGTGTGGCTGTGGTCTCCACTTTTTGAGAGTACCTCAAAAGGTCAGTTAACATTTTATTTCTCTCTCTTTGGCGGCACGCAGTTGGAGGCATCAAAGTCAAACACAGAAAAATACGCCCACATTCTCTGTGTGACATTCACACACTCAGGGCTGACAACCAGGCACTCTTAAGCTACCGCACCAGCGAACTATCTGAGGGGAGATGAGGGGAGCCGAGGCAAAGCTGGGTTGTTAACTGCATGTCGGAATTGCCAAAGATTTAAGCTTTTCAAAAAGAAGCGATTCCTGCTGTGATTTCAAAAAAAAATTTTTTTAATTACCGTTTCTTCTCTGGAGACAGATGAGGAGCTCCCATTCCCCTTGTCATCTTCGCCTTTTCGGTTGCCTTTGGCTGTGTCCGTACTCGGTTCATCACTGCCCGACGTGGCAGAAACTGATTCCATCAATTCCTCCGGAAAGAACACTGCATTTTGCAGCGACAGATGTTCAGGGTGCCATTCTATTTTCTTTGCTTTATTTTAAATTACAAACCATGGAACCTGATATTCAAGTGTATTTATGTGGAACCAATTCACAACAAAAGGGTAGGCTAGAATACAGGACTTTCCACAAGGTGACAGTATTGTCCTGTAACAGCATTGCATGTCTATCAGGTGTTTTCAAAAAGCAAGGACTTTTGCTTGTTTTTAAATTGGCACCGCTCAAGACATGTTCAAGTGTTCAACTTTGAACCGACTGTCAAATTGCTGTACATTCTTTTCCCGAAAGAAAAAAAAAAGTCTTACTCAGGTGTGTTCACGATGGTGCCTTGACAAGTACCGTTTACCTGCCCATTTGTGTAACCTTTCAATATGAGCAGCAGCATGTGTTGTGTACGCATTTGTGTGCTAGGTGGCACTGTTGCACTTCACAGCTAAAACGAAACAGTGGCAAAAAAAAAAAAAAAAAAGGCTCTCTGCCTACAACAATCCATCATTTAGCCAGGACTCCAACTTACTCTCATTGAAGTCATTTGGAAATTCAGCACAATGCCATTTTGTGATAATAAAAGCCACATACGATAAAGGCTGATATACTGTACAGGTGCACACACCCGTTAAATGAAAACAAAACAATGTTTATGTGCTAAGCACCGAGGGCTAAAGCAATATATCCTGGGGATTGCAGGCAGCTGCGCATTAAACATGCACGCGCTACTATTTGGCTTGTTAAAAGCGGGGTTTCAAAGCGCGGCGTGGCGTGAGCGAGCCATGTAGCATATAGGGAGCACGATCAAGGGCACAGCCTCGCCGTTGAGACGCGGCTTAACTGGGCGAAATTAATTCACTTTCCTGCTGAGATATTTCCCAGGGCACCGGGAAAGGGGGGGGTGGGGGCACGAAGAGCAAACTTCATTTGACTTCCCATTGACCCACTTCCTCAAGCCTAGCGGAGAACCGTAGGATGCTTGTGTGGTCGCTGGTCGACAAGATTCATGTATCCACATATGAAGTAACTACAAAGACAAGGGAATGAGCAGAGAAAAAAAAAGAGCAGCAAAGCAGCTGTGAAGGGTGCGAACATCTCTGGTGCATCGACGTTGATCTGGCCTGTTGGTTAATTCAGAGGAAGCGGCCAGGCTGAGCTGAAGTCGACGTGATTTTGATTTGAGCTACAAGTCTTGAGGAGCCGCTATAACTTTTATTTCTATGATGCGGGTGAGTCAAATACCCACACATGCGAGAGCACAGCGCTTTTCACGTGCGACGTGGGATTTGGAATGGGCTTACTGTATTGTAGTCCTTTACCTTGGGTTTCTTTGAAACTGAGCAGATGGGCGAAAGCCAATTGGGACTCATCCAAATCCCAGCTGTGGTGCAGTACCTCTGCCCTCAGCAAATACCTGTGATCCTGTCATACATACAAAAAAAAAAGTCAATGTGAAATACCGGGGGAGGGGGATGCAAGGCAGACAAAAATATCACGCAGAGAATATTTAATGTTAAAATTGCTGAAAATCACAGTAAGGACATGGCATTCGAATGAGCAATACCTGTACTTTTTTTTTTTTTTTTTTTTTTAAACAGCTCGTGCTCAAACTGCCGAAAGCAAGCATCAAACTGTCTCCCGTGGCTCTCTGCAGCGTGTACCATCGCCTTAATCACAGACGCCCGTTCTAATTGATCAGTGGTCTTAAGGACTAATCAATACTGTATGCGAATGACTGCCGCCTGCAGATGCTTTACTGGATTCGTCATGATCCGTCTCATTACCGTCCACGCTGCTGCTCATTCTTCATTAGTGGCTCTGCATGTGGTGTTTCATCAAAAAAAAAAAAAAAAAATCATCTCCTGCGTGTGATTGTTAATCGACGAGTGAAGCGATTACTGCTCCCTGGCAAGTGCTGCAAAGTCAGACAGGAGCAACTAAAGTATCCTTCTACTTTCTGCTGCTCTCCTCTTGTGTGTGAATGTGAATTGAGTGAGTGGGTGGGTGGGTGGTGAAGTTCATGTATGTGTGTGTGTGTGTGTGTGTGTGTGTGTGTGTGTGTGTGTGTGTGTGTGTGTGTGTGTGTGTGTGTGTGTGTGTGTGTGTGTGTCTGCAAGTAAGGTGCTATGAGTATCTGGCAGTGAAAACTGGATATGAAGACAAGCAGAAAGGAGGAGGATGAGGAGGAGGAACGTCCACGCAGTCAGTGTTACCGGCGCCTTGGTGGGCGGCGGCAAGTGGTCATCTTCGCTGTCTGATTTCCCCGACGTGCTGCTCTCCTCGTCTTCGTCCGTGCTGTCATCTAACACCTTGATCTCGTCCTCCTGGACCGGGGGCGTGTGCTGGTTCTCTTCTACCGCGCCACTGGGAGCTGTAACGAGGAGAGCAAAGGCCTGAGTCGGAGGAAAATAAAAAGACAAACGTCGCGCCCTGTTATCGCAGCAGGAAGTGCAAAAAAGAAATTAAGAGTTGCAAAAGTTTCTCTCTGATGGGTGGTGGGGGGGTGCTATCTGAGTTTAGTTCATTCTAAGGACAATACAGTGGAAGCCCCAATGCAGAACTAAATCTTCCATGGCACCGGATGACTTGCAAGTCATTGCATCAAACTTGTTTTCAATAACATTTTAACATTCTTAACTGTCACACAAGTAGAGGTGCAACAGTTAATCAACAGCTATGGTTAAACGATTATCAAATGAATTGATTTTCTTTTGTGTTGAATCAAAATGAAAACTGTTCGTTTGCAAAACAATAAACATGTTTCTGTATTGTTGTGTATATGACGGACCAAACCAGCACAAAATCAAAGTTTATGTTTGTGCATTTTCTGGAGTGTCATTTGGAAATAATGTTGTGTTTTTTAACAAAGAGGTGGAATATCTTTTTATCTGATTAATTGAAAATTGGCGGATTAATGGATGATTCAAATAATCGTTAGCGGCAGCCGTATAAACAAGTATAAATAAGAACCACCGTAAAACCCATCCCTTGTAACCCCGCCCTTCAAGGAAAAAAAACGAAAACACTCTCTAACAGTCCCAAACCTATTAGCTCCTCCTCTTCTTCCTCCTCCTCCTCCTTCTCTTCGTTGGGCAGAAAGCTGGCGACGGGAATGACAACGTGGCCTTGGCCAATGGCGCTGGCAACTACCGTCTCTTGCTCCAAGATTGACAGACGTATCTTGACATAACGGCTGGATGTCTGAAAGTGAACAGTGCCGACGAGAGGCACGGTCACCTTCAAAGTATAACTGCAGGGAGAGAAAAAAAAAATTAATTACAATCACAACTGCCATTCAGGTATCATGAGCAACACATTGGTTACATTTACAGGTCGGCTAATCATGTTAAGAGTTGCAGGAGGACTACTGTCGGTGTTTCTTGGTCTTACCCACATATAATATTGTTATTGTTGGGAATGTAATAATCCTGGAATTCCTGCACGGCAAACGTGTTGAGCGGAGGCACGTGGGACAATTTCGGGAGAGGTTCTCGGGTGGCAGTCAAGCGCAAGGTCCACTTGGCGTTAGCGGGTGGCGATTCAGGTGTGACGACCTCGGCGACAAACGTGTAACCCAGCTGCAGTGGGAGGTGCAAAAAAAAAGATTTGTCAATTGTTTTTGTCGTGCAAGAGCAAGGTCTTATCACTGCGACATTTATCACAGTTGTAAAAGTAAAAAGTACTGCACTTGAAAATTTGGTCTCTGGAGAACACAACTCGTGAAGTAATAATCAAACCTCATTGGGTTGATAAAGAAGGGGCGGGACTCTTGTGATGAGCTTGCTCAGCTCTTCTCCGGTGTCGTTATTAATGACGTGCAGGCGAGAATACGAGACCGGACTGTAGACCTTTGGCAACAGTAACGTCTCCTTCGTAAAAAAGAACACCTCTCTTCACACGCATACAACATGGAGAAAATGAGCAATTCAATTCAGAAGCAATCATGGAGACTCAGAGATGGGAAAAAGAGCGGTCGCATTGACAAATTTGTCCAACCTGAAGACCAAGATCCAGGAGTTGGCTTTGTCCGGGAGATTGACGGAGTAGTCGGTGAAGACGACTTTGGTCCATTCATCCATCTGACACGGGTAGATTATGGTTTCCCTGTCGGAGAGCTCAAACATGTACCTGTGCAGAAGGGAAACGATATTTTAGGACACATCAAAAGTCAACCGTTTTCTGCAGCGCTTGTCCTCATTTTGGCCGCAGAGCGGAGCTGGAGCCGATCCCAGTTGACTTTGGGCAAAAGGCGTGTGACACCATGGACCGAAATAGAGTAAGAAGCTCTGGCCTGGCAACACAGTACAAACAGCAGCAAGAAAGCGAAAACAATAAGAAGAAAAAAATGAAGGACTATGCATCACAAAGGGACCCTCAACTATGCACTGTGTTCTCTCTTTCTCCACTGCGGGGTTATTTTCATAAATTATTGACCAACTTTAAAGTGATGACACTTTGCTGAAAAGTGAAGGTTTTGTGAATGCGACGATTCCACCTGCCTCGAGCAACGTGATTCGTGTTAAAATATGATTCGGTGTTCCCTCGCTACTTTGTGGTTCGGATATCACGGATTCACCCTATCGCTGATTTTCGTTTGTGACCATAACTTCATGTATTCCAATTTTTGCCATGTTTTCTTCCTATTTTTCTTCCTTGTAAGTCGGACCAGTCTAAAATTTTTTTAAGGGAAATTTCAGCCATAAAAATTGAGAGAACACGATATTATTAAGAGAGTCTTCATTGGCAAAGTGTGAAAGTGAATGGAAATGCTCATTTAGGTCATGGCGCCTCTCGCCCAAAGTAAGGTAGGCTCCAGCTAATGACAAAAAAGCACCACTGAAAATGAACGAGCCTGTTTAGTTGACGGGAGACAGCTTGAGTCAGAAAAGCATTAATACTATCTCGAGTCCCTCTGGAGGAAATAAAACGTCCTGCATTATGAAACAAATCAAAAGAACGGGATTACGTCTCTGCTTGGAGATTCCACTCTAATCATAAAAGTTGAACCACGCAATGTCCACAACCACCGTGCGCGGATGAAGCGGGGCCCTTAGCGCTCACGCACAAACACACTTCCCCAGGCGGTGGGTCATACGGCAGACGCTGCGAGCGCGTTGGAACGACGTAAGGATAAACAGCAGATGGTACCGCTGGGAAAAAAGATGGAACACAATGTGGAAAATGCTCCCCGCCTGGCAGCCGCAACCAGAAGAGGGAGCCAATTCCGGGCATGTGGCAGAGCAGAGGAGCTCCAAAGGATGAAAGGATATCAAATAGGGCTGCGATGTTTTAATAGGCTCGCTGCTGGTTTGAAGGCATAACGTCTGTGACTAAGATGTGAAAGCTTGAGAGACGAAAAAAAAAAAAAAAAGTGTAACCTTCATTTACCCGAGCAGGGAGGCAGCGTGTTTGTCAAAGTCACATTCCACCTTTGACCACATGTCTGAAAGCACTGCGGACGCACGGATGCTCTCCTTGGTGCCTGCACGACATGGGTAGCGCATCAACACAGGCAAAGTAGCATTAAAGATGAAAGACAATGCACATTGCCAATACATGAAACATTTATTGGGGTTGACCTACTTTTGAGTGGAAAGCCTGTTTTGCCTCGCCGGGTGAGGGGAAATCGCAGCCTATTCCTACTGTACCTCCATGGAGCGAGCACAACTGTGTCGACATTGTGTTGCACTTGCACAGGTGTCACATTGCTAACAAGCGGGCGGTCTGCTTCTTTCAAATGGCCGCCTCTCTGAAAGTGATACATCGGGGCCAAGGCAGGCCACTGAGAGATGAAGACCTACTATATTTATCACCAAGGGGAGGCTAGAGACAGACGGGAAGAGCGAATGCGGAGGAAAAAAAAAAAACATGGGGCAGGGGGAAAAAAAAAAGAAGCCTGCATGTCAACCAAAAGAGTTGTTGCCGCAGCAGAAAAGCCTGATTGCTTCTCCTAATTAAGACATTATCAATTTAAGTGGCAGCCTTACAGCGGCATGCTTGACCAATGAATATGCTGTACAACAATTTGGAGAGAAGTACAGCAATGTCGCCTCCCCCCCTCAAAAAAAAAAAAAATTGCCCAAGTGAGCATCATAAGCAGGGGTGGGCAAAAATATGGCCTGTGGGCCAAATATGGCCTGCTCTGTTCCTTAACCTGGCCCACCGAACATGTAAAACTTCAAATTTATGAATTCAAATGATTAATTTTTCAACTCGGCGTTCTCAATAAATAAGTACAACATGAAAAAAAAAAAAACTTAGCTCTCCAAGTACTTACCACCACCATGACTCATCAAAAATCAATAAATCATATTTTCCATTTTTTATGTGTACTGCACATAGAAGTTGACACATAGAAGTTGACAAATGTTCTCAGACAAACATCTAAAAGATGAAAAGCACATCTATAAAAATCGTAAAGAAAACTAGAACCTAGCCTCCAGCCCACCGTGAACCACTGCAGGGATGCGTGGCGTGCATGTGTTTGTCTTTGAGCGTGTTGATGTCTATGTATCAGCACAGTGGCGACCCGTGGCATGTCAGAAAGTATTAGAAAGAATGGCAGTCTCATCCTCTGCTCAGAGGCTCAATACATGCCACCGGGCTCAATCTAACTGTGACCAGAGGAAGCAGACGGTGCCTAGCGCATGCTTTTATGTGTTTGGACAGCGCGACGGACTCTCCTCATGAAGACAGATGTGTTGCTGCGCTGCTGCTTGCTCAGCATTTCCAAGGAGAAACTCGCCAGACTGTAACTGCCCCAAGAATAGTACTTGGGAAAAAAGGACCTTGATATTGAAATTGAAATGTGAATTTACCTGCTTTGGAGGAATTGCAGACCATTCGCACCAAGAATCCCTTGAAGGCAGCCTGCAGGACAGTCGCTGCCTTGACCTCCTCCTCTGTCGGCTGCCTGTCAATCCACGTTTCCGGAGGCTTTAACTCCTGACGCGCTTTTAGGGAATAGCGATGCAAGAACAACAAGGGGAAAATGAATGCTTTGACTCCAACGAAACGGTTAATACAGTATTTTCAGGACCACGTTCAACAATATATGCCAGTCAAGGCCTCCCCCTCGAATAAATGCATAATGTACTTGAATAAACAAATGCCTATCACCATTAAATGAGAAAGTGCTGCTTTGTAGCATCAGCTGTCTGTTCTCACAGTGAATAGTCACCATATAGCAACACAATCCAATATTATACAACGCTAATGCCTTGTGCCGAGTGCGCATTATCGTCAAATGAACACACAAGCATACAGAAAATGACATGTTACATGCAGGGGAGTGCGGTCTGCGTGCCCTAGCCAGCAGTGAAGGGTCAGCAGTCAGGGCCAGTACGGCAAAGCGCTCCTGAGGGGTCATTTCCCTGCCAAGGGCATCACACAGCATATGATAGACAGCCAAGCTGAACACCTGAGGAGGGCCCCAGCATACATACGTTCACATCAGAGGAGAGATGATTTCTATGAACGGGAAGAAAAAGTCGACACATCCAAACCTTTTGGACCTGCCAGTTTTCCAGCTGGGTTTGTTTGGGACTGTAAGCTTCTTCCAGGCTGTGTCTTATGTGAGGCTTTTGGCCATGCCGGTCGTGGAAGGAAGCAACCACTTTGGACAGGGCACGCATGATAACCTTTGCTTTCTCACTGAAACGAAGACTTTCCTAGGAAAAAAATAATAAAACATTACGGAGAGTTAATATTCACTGCCATTGATGGGTTGAGAAGTTCAAAGCTACATTGCTTGACCATGGGCTGGCACTGTATGGGTTTTAACGAGCACTTATTTTGGAAATGTTGCTTGAATAGAAATTGTTGTCGGGTCTACGGAATGCCTGCTGACCCACAAGTGTGAATTAAATTGAACCACAAGTTAAAAGTTTGATCATCCGTCTTTGTCCGATGATGAGTTTCTGAGCTGTTGTGCAACAGTGGGGCAAGTTTCACTCCCCAAGCGATGATCATCTAGGCTGGGTGAAGATCCCGAGCCCGAACACTGCAACGCAATTTTTGATTCTTGGCCTATTCTGACGAAAGCATGTCACTTTCTCCCTGATAACATTAGCTGTTATTTTCCTCACATTAAAAGAGTGAACCGGTTGAAGTTACAGACCCGATATCTTTTCAAATGCTGCCGGCAAAGGGATTCGTAGTCTGAGCGTATTTCATTGAACTATGGGTTCTTTTTATTGTGTACTTTTGTGATAGATTCAAGGGCAAATCGGTGAGTGTGAAGAGGTAAAGGCAAGACAGTACATAAATACATAACCTTCGCATTATAAATGGATCTATCCTGACATTCATTACTTGTGTGAAAACTCTCCATCTTCACGCATTACAATCACTGAATAAGCAGTCTTGTAATGTCATGGAATAAAAATAATTAGTTACTTTAGTAGATTTTCATACATCTTCGCCATTTATTTTCCTGGCAACTTTTATTTTTTTCCGGGGGAGGTAATGAGAACAAGCTTGCGTGATTCACCTTGGTACAGAGCGACATGATGGCATCCTCCTCCCCAAAGGAGAAAGGTGTTTTGCTGCACAGGTGCACATGGTAGCCCAGCTCGGCGTACGTGTGGAAGGACAAAACATGACGCCTGAAGGTGGGAGAGGAAGCATGCAATCGTGATTCGTTGTAAAACTTTTTTTTTTAGCATGAACCCCCCTCGGCAGATTTCACGGTTCTTCCTCTGGTCTTTCCGAACTCTGACACAAACAAATGAACCAGAACATTCTGTCGCATGTGAAAGGCTGCTCAGTGCAACACTAAAAACGCTGAATGGCGTAACAGTTAATGGCTAACATGGAAATTCCCAGGGAAGCTTACCAACAAGCTTGTTCCTAATTGCCGCAGAGCAAATTGGTTTTATGGGTTGTAACAGTTTGAATGATGTCTTTTTGCCTAGGGAAAATTGTGGGAAAAAAAGAGATTGCCAGAATGAACCGTGTTCCAATTTGGAGGTTTCACAGTGATTTGAAACATGTCATGATAGGGACCGCGTCCCAGTCGAAGAAGCAGCAGCCTGATGTGCTCTCCGAAGCACCGAGCTGAGTTCATCGTCTGGTCAGACCTAAGGAAAAGTAGAACTCCCATTTCCACGGCTCCATTAGCGTTACATAATTCAGCAATCGCAGACTAACTCGACGGATGAGCACCAGCAGGCGCTCGGTGGAATAAACACCATCTAAAAGTGAAATGATCCCAGATGAAGGGAAAGACTTTGGTTGAGGGAATAAAACAGAAAAAAAAATTCTAAGAGACAGGTGGAGGTAAGCCTTGATTTTTTTTTTTTTTTTTTTTCCCTGAACGATCAAGGCAGGACAGCATGTCTGAATGACAAATAAACTAATTGGAACATTGTGAAGCACATACAAATGAGCTGCTTTGAATGAACACAAATAAGCACGCAGTGTGTGCTACGGGCAGATGGACGCAATGAAAAGAGAGCCTAATACATGTGAATGCAGCGCCCCGCTCCATAAACTAGACCTTCTGCTCATGGTCGAGGCAGAATCCATTAGATCGAGACGAGGACTATTGTCTTTTGCTACTGCCTACATCATCGACAGTAGGCAGACATTCATCGGTTGGAATGAATAAAGGCTAAAATATTTCCTTTTCTGTTTTTTTTTTTTTAACCCCCATGAAAAGCTTCCCATCGTAATCTGTAAAGAAAAGCCATACATTCAAGTAACAGGATCACACCACTTGGAATTATGGACCTAAATTTAGCAGCCTCGTCACGCTGAGCTAATTTGAGATTATTATATGAAAGCATGAGCGTGGAAAAGCAACGCTAAAAGGAGAATTGTGGTTTGTATAGATGAGGTTACAAGCATGTTAGGTTCATTGATGACTACGTTGCCCATTGGTGTGAATGCTTATTTGTGGAGACTCCAGCGAAGAGTGCTCATGACCTCAATACTTCTTTTATTTATTTTTGTGTGTCGTCTGGGCCCAGGTGGAGAGTTTGAACGCAGACTATGTCCTTACCCTTCGGGTAGATTCAGCACGGTGGCTTTGGAGCAGTTGGTCTCGATGGTGACTACGGGCGGCTGACACCGTCTGCTCTTCCAGTGGAACGGGGCAGCCTGGAGAAGGGCGGGGCAGCGAGTTGCTGAAATGTCATTAGCTGAGAGGGGCGAAAAGGGTGGAGTCGACACACGCACACAGATGCAGAGATGGAAAACTTTCACTTAGCATCCACATTGATCGATTCGGCAGTGCCTTGAAATATTCTGTTCTCGTCAAATGAATGAAAATGCCATTAATCTCTTCCAGCCTCCCCCTTCCCCCAAAATAAAATGACCCTCTTGCGGGTGTGCTCACCTTGGTCAGTTGCCGGAGGCACAGATAAACTGGTCATTGGGACGTCTAAACTCCTCTTAGCTCATCAGTACGGCACTAATGTTAACAGTTCTTCCTAGATAATAAAGACTATATGACTGTGAGTACTATTATGCTTGTCTTTCTACGTGTGCCATTCGACCATTTGCATTCAAACCACTTAATGTGAAGTAGCTCGCAAACTGAAATGCTATGCGTCGTTGCGGACACATTAGGTGTGTTTGTTTTATGTTTGTTTGCCAGTGAAATTGAGCTGGGAGTGGCAGTAAACAGCGAGGTGAGTTCACTGCGACCTTACAGAGCCTGTCAAAACAACAACAAAATTGCCTCGAAAAACTCAAGTCGAGTTAAGACGTATCTCAAGGTACCACTGAGTATTCAAATGAAGGCTGTGACCGTTAAAATATATTTGTATGTGGGTCACATGCACACGTGACTTCTTACTAGTGTCTATTCCTCCCCAGCGCAGCAGGCCAGAGAAACTGATGAGGATCTGGGAAGGCTGCAGGCTGTCCACGCACAAGTAGTACGTCCCCCGCGCATAGGAGCACTAAGACAGACACACACATAAGCACACGCGGGGCAACTTATCAGTCGAAAGGCAGACAAGGAGGAGAAAAGAAGAAGTGGAAGCCACGGGGAGGGGATGATAGTTCAACTGATAGAGGCTTGGCTTCATGGAGGAGAGTGGAGTTAAGTCAGGCGGGATAGACAAAACAAAAGGAAAATACAAGCAGGGGGGCAGCAACAACGGTGATAAAGGAGACAAGGGTGGTAGTGGTGGTGGTCTTGACGTGTTGGGAAAGACAAGCAGAATCGTCCCTATCCCGGCAGATATGCGAACACTCCTCCACAAACAACTTGAGAGTCTACTTACAACACCATAAGATGTGGCAGAGAAGGCAATCGGGGACAAGTGCTGATTTAAATGTGGCGCTACATATTAGCTTTGTGTCTAAAAGTTTGGACTGTCCATTTTGCCATCAAGCGTTTTAATCCAACTACTTCCCATATATAACAACACAGTTTAATGGAAGACACTAAGTTGTCCATAGGTGTGAATGTGAGTGTGAATTGGAGACGGGTTATGGAAAATTGCTGCATCATCATCATCATCATCATCATCATCCATAACATTACAAGGTGTGTACCTTAAGAAGAGACTTCTGGGCTTGGTGCGGGTACGTTTCCGAGTTATGGAACACCAACAAACGACTGAGTGGGGGGGGGAGCTTCTTTTTAACCATGACAACTGGCGAACAGATTTCGAGCTAACGGCACAGTTGCCTTATTGAAACAATTCACAGCAACCTTGGAGAAGGAAATCAGCCCAATGTGATTTTGATGTCACACCTCTGACAACTCAAGACAACAAAAGCCATTCCCCTGAGAGATAGTCATAGCCACTCATGGTCAAATCCTGATCTTAAACACAGTGAGCAGAATTGGCCTAGCTCCCACGTAATGGCATCCTTACTCCCACTCACCCACTCCCACTTTAACTCACCGACAATATGCGCACCGACACACACCCCATCCAATGAGATGCACGCACATACGACACACGGGCGATGCAGTCTCTGATGCTAAACTCAAGACAACAAAAGCCATTCCCCTGAGAGACTCATAGCCACTCATGGTCAAATCCTGATCTTAAACACAGTGAGCAGAATTGGCCTAGCTCCCACGTAATGGCATCCTTACTCCCACTCACCCACTCCCACTTTAACTCACCGACAATATGCGCACCGACACACACCCCATCCAATGAGATGCACGCACATACGACACACGGGCGATGCAGTCTCTGATGCTGAGGAATGGTTGCCCGTTCACTCAAACCTGCAGGTGTTACTAAGCAACTGAATGAGGGCAGAGTAAACTGGCCGGCTGTCTAAAGGCACCATTTCAGCGCAGTCTCCTTGCAAGTGTCTTGGCCAACTAAAGGAGGCGTGCAGAGGAAAGATGGATGCGGTGAAAAGTGGGTGATTCCAGTCCAGGGCAAAAATCGTGGAACCTAAAAAATGTGAACTGCATACTTGCTTACAATAGGGTGAGTTGAGGTTTGGGTGTTCAACGTGACGCTACTTTTGTGGCTTGTTGGCATTTCCCTTGACAGAGTGGCATTATTCAATGAAGGGTATTTGATTTCATCAACCCAGTACGACGAACCATTTTGACTCCAGAGAGGAGAAACTTCATGAGGACTTCCGCCAGATTCTACTGGAATGAGCATTCAATGATCTGATTTAAGTCGTCAAAATTAAGAATAGACTGATCATCGCCAGGGCCGATTATCGGCACCGATACTTTCCGTTGTGACAAATATCAGCATGCTTAACCTTGTAACCACAGGCATACCGTTGTAAAACCTATTTTGTTTTGTGTTTGTTTAGTTTTTTTTTTTCTCAGAAATCAATTTGGGCCCTATTTAATTGCAAAGCGGCAGCTCTTTACCAATGGAGACAACGTCATCGTCCTTCTTCTTGTTGTCCTCTGCGGGAACCTGAAGGGACAGAGTGAGCGAGAGTGAGTGAGAGTGAGGAGTGAGCAGTTGAGTTGCACAAGCATCCACAAGCACACCCCAGAGACGCGTCACAAACTACTCCGGTGACTTCCGTGACAGCTGCGGCGGTGCGCCGTCCCCAATGATCACCACAGGACAGCAGACAGGGTTTAATGTGACAAGAGCCGCTCCTCCCATGCTGCTGCTCGACAACACCACCAGGGAATCGCGCTGCTAATTTACTCTGACTGTCACTAACAGATGAGGAGTTATTATGTCGTTGTTTAGCATGTTAATTCTGTTCAAGGGGGGTGGGGGGGGATTACTCAACCGCTCCAATGCCGTGTTCGTTTGCCCGACAAATAATTCCATTTTCCTAATTAGTCATTAGCAAATTCCGTCATATTGTGTCTGAGCGAGCTAGGAAATTGGAAAGCACACGAGCGCCTTGTGATACAAGGGACCCGACCGACTTGGCAGTTTTGAGATACAAGATCTCATCCGGATGTTTTTTTTTTTTTTTTTTCCCTTTGACTTGCGAACCTAAACTTGAACTTCAGTGCTGTACTGTGGCAGTGAACTCAGTTCTCTCACTTCACAATAAACAACTTTTTGGGGGGGGCGAACAATTAATCCAAAAAGAGGCTTCAAGTTGTTTAAATGGCACTCTCAGTTTGTTTACTGTCAAACTAAACATAAAACAAGTTGTGTATTTACAACTGTGTATTTACTACCAATCAATGCTGCCTTAAGAATGACACGCTAGCTTAATGCACACGTAGAATGGAAAATGCCATCGCCATGAATCCTTTTGACCCTTTTAGAACCCGTGAGGCGATGGCTGTTTGAAGACAATGCAATGCCGTTGTGTCAAAATTCAATTTCAGAAGCTGCTGTGATTCCGGAAGATGTCCCCAACGCTTCATCTGAATTGTTCCTCTTTCAGAAGCACAGAGTAGCAATCCAAGTGGAAGTCCAACAGCTTATTCGGCTCTTGACGACAACTCAACCTTCCTGGGCAAGACTCTGATGACTCAGAACGAGTGTGTGCACATTGGCGCGTGCGCTTGTGTTTGTGTGAGTCACCCCTTATTTGAATAAGCGGGGTGGGGGAGTAACTCAGAAAGAAAAGAAGCCCCGTGATTAGGAGGCACACTTAACTTCCTCTCCGGCACATGCTTCGATGTAAAACAAATTCCATGTCACGCAAGTATGAAATGAAAGCAGTCACGACGAAAGCAATGTGAAACATACCACACGAAACAAACATCTGGCTAGCAATCCACAGTACGTCTTCACTCAGTGTTTCTTTCTGTCAAAGACCGCAAACAGACGCATGGAAGCAGTCAGAGAAGTTCCAAATCTAGTTCTTTGTTCACAAAATGTCGCTCTATACCAGCACTGGCTCATAAAACTTAGAAAGCGTCTTAAATTGTGGCATTAGACTTTTGAGGTGCCGCTGTCTAAATCAAAACAAACATACTCTTCGCTCACAGACTACTGGTCTTTCGTGAGAAATCTCAAATGCAAGACTCCTGAGTTTTTTAATCTGCTGCCTCCTGATTAGAAAGCTATTTTTTATGACCAAATCACAGTCCTGGATGGAAAACCGGAGGAGAGACTATTTCTTTAATCCAGACTTCCTGGAGCTTTATTTGACAAAGTCAGCAGAGTTAAGTCGTCTTCTCCCTGAGTGACTTCGTCTGTAAGTTCTATTTTTCCTCCTCTTTGCTGACGTTTTCCAATTCTTGAATGAAATGAGTAAAGCAAACTCAAATCTTTACCGATTTGGATTGGACCTCAAAGGCCCGTCTTGGAAATGGAACAGCACAGAAGACCTTCGGTGATTAACCACATTCCGAGAATAGTCGGGGTTAAGGCGGCCTGCTTGCATAAGGGGCCTAATTCTTTCAAGCACATTAAAGAGGGAGGAAAAGAACTATTGGGGGGGATATTAGGCGCGTCATGTGACACAACCATCTTTTCTTTTTCTAATCCTGGTGGGGGGGGGGGGCTGAGCGCAGAAGATGTTGATTCTTTTGGCAAGAGTTGACAGAAACAGAGGGAGGGGGTCAAAGCGGGCAAAAAAAAAAAGATGCCTTCTCACATTGTCGACAGCGGATGCCTGATCCGCCATGTGCATGGTGGACCGCGCACAACGCGCGCACACACTAAACGACAGCTTGTGCCCATGCTGCCCTGGTGTAACCTCGCTATCACTGGTCCCAGTTTCACAAGAGAGCGATTCATCTCAACTATCTAACTGTATGCTGAGAGTGATGTGTTACAATCACCCCCCCCCCATTGTCGACAGCGGATGCCTGATCCGCCATGTGCATGGTGGACCGCGCACAACGCGCGCACACACTAAACGACAGCTTGTGCCCATGCTGCCCTGGTGTAACCTCGCTATCACTGGTCCCAGTTTCACAAGAGAGCGATTCATCTCAACTATCTAACTGTATGCTGAGAGTGATGTGTTACAATCACCCCCCCCCCCAGCCC